CGGGCGAGCCGCGTCGCGTCCAGTGGCGTTGGCCGTGCCGCGATCGAAACTCGCTCTTGGGCTACTCGTTACAGCGCGCGCCGCCGCTCGGGCTGGCGGAACGCGCGCGGCCGCGCCCGACGCCAGACGCGCTCTGCGCCTGCCAGCGCGCCGGGCCGGTCGATACGGAGACGTCCCCTCCTGCTCAGACGCCAGGGTGGCCACTTTCTGGGAAACACGGATAGCCGGGAAGAATTACGGAATTTCTCTGCTCTGCGAAAATCAAGGAAAAATCTGTGCTCTGCGAAAAACCGGGAATTACACTGCTCTGTAAAAGTCAAGAAATTTCGCGGCTTCAAAAAATAAGGAAATTTCACTGCACATCAGGGAAAAGCCACCGTTCTGGATAAATGAGGGTATATTTAGGAGAATTGTATAAGTCAAGGAAAAATTTGAGGGGTTATAAAACAATATATTTTTCCCTAAAACACTAGTTCAGCGTTTTTTCCTTAATTTTTTCTGTGGTGAAGAAATATTGTTTAGTCATACTTTATCACGTCTATATCAGAGAGCTGACTAATTAATGTCAGGGTAGCTTTAATATGTTCTGTAAGTAGCGGGAAATCGCCAATTTAATCGGAAAAAATAGAATAAAGTGCCGTGGGTAACCGAGAACATTCCGGGAATTTTATTCCGGGAAATTAGTGACCACCTGGCCGGTTTGAAGCTCTCGTTTTTGAAGCGTGCTAATCTACGTTCACTGTAATGTGTTTTCGTTTGTGTTGACACTAGGGGTAGGGACTTAGTGGCCAACCGATCAATCTTTTGTTTTTTGTAGGTTCCAGTTTATGTTGAAATGCTGAAAATCATCTATACTGTTTGTGTTGTGTTTTTTTTGTTAGAAATGTGCATTTTAACACAAGTGTTGGTTATGATTTGCGTTATCGTAGAGTCTTTGGCTGGGAACAAAGGCATTCGCGACTATTCACTTGAAAATTGAACATTCAAATGATATTTTGAAAAAAATATATTTAGAATTTTAGGACATAGAGCAATATACGTTAATACATTATCATGACGTTAAAATTCAGCAGTCTTTTTGACCAAAAATGTAATAAATTCTGTCATTAAATACAAGTATAAGTGCAAGAAAGTAATTTTTTTTTTCAGAGTAATGAACTGAATAATGTTTATGTTCAAATAAATGCTCATGTAGAAAATAAGATATATTTTATTAATGTATCAGAATTGTTTAAAACCTCCATAAAATAAAATTAAAGCGTTGGACTCCGGAGGTCCGTTCCCCTTGACAACGCAGTGACAAATTATACCTTGAAATTGGTAAGGCGAATGATCACATGTACATGTATGCATAACCATGTGGATGATTTAGTGTTACAATATTTGAGAAGCAGTAATAGAAATAAGACATAATTAATCATTCTTAAGTAGAAGTTCTTAAATCCTTAACAGTTAGAAAGAACTGAGGTAAGTTCAGTTAAAGCTTCAGTGAACTTGAGTACTTATGAACTGTTTACCTTGCGACCACTCATCTCCTGTACGTTTAATATAATGGTTTAGTTTTTTAGATTCTTATCCGTTTCAATCTCAATTTCAGAGTATTACTGCTGTTTCTGTTAAGCAACAAACTTGCTTTATTCGTTATCCATTCCCTTATTTACTAGCTATCGGACTATTTCTAATTACCAATATACCATTTTCAATTCGAATCTAACGTATTTTCTTACTCTTGTTTCGGAATGAAAACAATTAAATTTCGATGAAATTTACAAAGCTCTCGTACATTTACTTGGGAGATTTTGCATGAGCGTTCATTAATAGGCCTAGCCTATTTGCTTTCGGTTCCTTGGTTACTTGATATTTCCTTATGGCTTGCCGGTTGAATTAATTTTTTCTAAAACCTCTGATTATTGCGTTCAATAGTTCCATTGAATTCATGTTTGCTTTGTTTTTGTTGTTTTATTTTTTGATGCAGTACAATAAATAAAAAGTATATTTCTCCTATTTTTCTGTGTAATGTTCTTGCATTCGGAAAAATTTCTCTATTATTATTTTTATTATGATTTTTAAATTAATTCTACCTTCTTAAAAATAATACATTCCTTAAACAACTCGCACCCTGCAAACTCACAAAATCTACTTTCTGCCTTTATACTCAGATAAGCTCACTTGGTTATTGATTATTTGAACAAGTTATTTTTCTGAGCGTCTAGAACCATTCCATCGGCCGTAACATTATTGCCTTCTCTTATGAAGAACGGAAAGAAGAGAACGAAAATGCCCGAGACGATAGCAAACTTGAAACGAGAGCAAACTGTCGCTTTGGATGAAAAATTAGTTAGGGACACGGAAAATCGTCCATAAAAAAACTAAATGAAAACAGCCGCCTGTAACAGCTACTTATCTAATTCAGGTTTACGAGTCGGATTTATTCTCAGGATCCGGGGGGAGGGGGGCTGCGCTGTGAGTAGTTTTCTTATTACTTGATGCCTGTGCGAATTGTCGCGTCGGAAAGGCTTTTTACGAGGGCGGGGCTTTACGGTCAAGGGTCGTCACCGGCGCTGTGGTGCCCGCCCGCCCCCGCCCGGGCCCCATTTACTGCCCGTGCAAATGAATTGGGTGTTAAAGCCGGCCGGGCCGTGGATGCCCTTTTTAAGAGGTAATCCGGGGCCGTGGTGCGGGGTCGATGATGGACCGCGGGGGCCAGGTGGATGGGCCCGGGCGACGCCGGGCGACGCCGAGCGTCGCGACGCCGTGCGGAGCGCTCCCTCGTGCGCGGCGCCGGGGCTATGGCTCTCTTGATCACCGGGGAAGCGCGCTTTAACAGGCGCGGCG